GGGCCCGGGTGGGAACGGCGCTCCCCCTGCTGCCCCTTTTTTTTTTTTTTTTTTTTTTTGAGAGGTTAATTTTTTCATTTTGTTTTGGTTTACGTGGTGGAGTTTTTTTCTTTTTATTTTCTTACTTTTTTTTTTAATTATTTTTTGAAAATTAATTTTAACCCGAACGTGAACAATTGCGGCCCTGGATCCGGGAGACTTTCTGAGCTTTCAGTGTCACGCAAACCGTGGCACGTGTGTTTCTCCCTCGGCTCCAGAGACGGCTCTTCCCTGAAAACCCCATCCAAATCATTGCTAAAAAATATTAAATTACTGTAAAGTAAAATAACAGCAGCGCTGACTGCCGTCAGCAGCACCACCTCACTCTGCCCAGCAGGAGAGCTCCCCGAGACTCCCCCTCACCCCCTTGCTTCCTCCCGCGTATCCTCCGCTCCGCGCAGGGGTCGTGGGACGTGGTCCCCGCAGCCCGAGGGGGCGGCCGGGCGGGCCCAGGCTGACTCTCGCTTCTCTCCAGGTGGATCCTACATGGTGGAACCGGAGGAGAACAAGCGGACGAGGACGGCGTACACGCGGGCGCAGCTGCTGGAACTGGAGAAGGAGTTTCTCTTCAACAAGTACATCTCCAGGCCGCGGCGGGTGGAGCTGGCTGTCATGTTGAACTTGACCGAGAGGCACATCAAGATCTGGTTCCAGAACCGGCGGATGAAGTGGAAGAAAGAAGAAGACAAAAAGCGAGGGGCGGGCAACAGCAATGACCCCGAGCAAGACTGCGTTGTGTCCTCTGGGGAGCTCCAGACCAAGGAGGATCTCCAGCCATGCCCCGCCGGGAACCTTCCCTCGGGAGCCTCCAGGGACCTCCTCGCCCCCAGCCTAGCCCCCAGAAGGCAGCAGGACTCTCGGTGAGCCGCGGGGAGCTCCACGGCCCGGGACGAGGAAAAGGATGGGACATGGAAAAGAGCCGAGAGGCTGGCGCCAGCTTCTCTCTGCCGTGCACTGCCGTGCCGTGCCGTGCCATGCCGTGCCGTGCCGTGCCGTGCCGTGCCGTGCCGACCCACTCGCTCCTTCCCCCGGGGAAACGCGGTGCCTCCACTCCGAAACTCGCGTTCTCCGGACAGTAAATGTAAGATGCCCAGCTGTGACGAGGAGAGGCTCGCTGCGGGCGCTAGCGCCGGGGAGGCCGCAGGGAGCCGCCGGGATGGCGGGGAGCTGGGCCCCGCTCCTGCGGGCCGCCCGCGCCTCAGCGAGCCCTACGGGATAGCTTCCCCCGGGGAAGGTGGGTGTCAGGCGGCCACCCCGGGTGTGTGCCACCCCGGGTGCACGGAGAGGTCTGGAAAGCGGAGGAGAAGCGAGCGCACGCTGCCTTCCTTGCCGCCGACAGCTGCTCGGTCGGAGCGCGTCTGTCGGTCCACGGGCGCGGACACGGACCCGAGTATCCCGGACCATCCACGGGCTGGCACGCCGCCGTCCCCGTCCATTCCAGTCCCCAGGGCATCGGCTCTACCGAGGACTCTCTCAGGACTGTAACTTACTTCTTCGGAAACTGGAACCTGGTTTCTTTCGTTTTCTTTTGCTTTTGGGAAAGAAAGGAGGGGAAAGAAATAAAACGAGAGGAAAAAAAATTAAATTAGAAAATAAAACGCCCACGTGTCCTGTGGGCAGGATTTGTCTCCCCCGATGACCGGCACAGGTAGCCAGATCCTCCTCCAGCGGCTGCGGGGACCCTGCGCTGCTGCCCGCGGCTCCGCGCCCGTCCGGGCTCCGCGGGACTCCGCGGCTCCAGGGCTGCGCTCGCCTCTTCGAGGGGTGAATGCGAGCCCGGGGATGCAGCAGAAAAAGTCGCAGGTGCTCTCCGAGCGGCGAGCAGACAGACAGATATATCTGCGGGGGTAGGGCTGGTCCCAGGGACATTGTCCTTTGGGAAAAAGCTCCTGCCTCTCTTCCAACTCTTTCGCAAGCTCGGACTCTGCCTTGGAGAGGAGAGACCTCTCTGCGGCATGAGCTCCTGTCCCGGTGTGGTTTTGCTCTGCAGACTTGTTTTTACACCCAGCAGAGGTTGGGGGCCGGCTGTCTCCCGGGGCACTGAAGAGCACAGGGGACTTTTCCTGGGCGCTATTTTTCGGGCCGGCCCGGTGTGCGGGAGAGCTCGGCTCCTCCGTGCTGGAGCGGGGAGAGAGCCCTGCCGGGGCTTCCCTGCGGGAAGACGGGCAGCGGAGTCCGTGCCGGCCGCCCCGGGCCCGCCTGCCTTTCCCGGAACGGCTTCCCCGTCCCGACAACGGCGGGGACTGCAACTAAGCGGGGAACAATTCACAGCCGAACTAGGAACAGAAAACACCGGCTGGAAGGAAGCAGGAACTGTCCGGCTTGCTGGCGGTCAGGCAGATCTTCCCTCTTTCCTCGACGGGAAGGTTCCTGCTTTGTACTCGGCAGCAGCAACCCCTCGAGCATCCCTCGGGGACCGCCACAGGCTCCTCCGCGCTGCGGGCCCAGGAGTGCCGTGGGAGGAGGAAAATGAGGACGACCTGTCGCACCCTGGCCAGAGGATGTTCCCAGTCCCTCGGCTGAAAGCGAGGGCGAGAGCAAATAGCTTGACACAGCTCTTTGGGGTTTTCTCGTTTTACATGGAACTTCTAACACTAGGGTGGAAACTTGAACTAAAGGTGTAATTTGTCTATTGCTTTTCTTTCCTCCGGGGACATTACTGTCTGTGTGCAAACAGGACTATTTCTGGTAATTTTTCTTGCAAGTTGCCTGAAAAATTTATCATCCAAGTCTGTACATCCTTATTCATCAAAATGCAGTCAGTGAGTGAGAACTGTTACTAATCATTATATAAGCAAAATTCAAATAAAGCTGTTCTGCTTAAGAAGCAAAACACCATATTAATTAAAGTAATATTTCTTAAACTTTTGGGGGACATGAAGCCATGTTTAAACCTCAGAACCTTTAATCCCTATTCATTAGCATTAACTTTCACTGGTAACATGAAGTGGAACAATTTCCACCTACCTTTTACAATGTCTGCCACAGACATTACAATTCGGGAGCTACTGTAAAAATAGATCCAGCTGAAGAAAGGACACCTTTCACACAAAATACCTCAATTTTATTCTAAGATTTGTTGAGCACATTGCCCTGGCTGAGCAGCATACATGGTAGCTGAAACCTTGCCTGTCCTTTCTTTAATATAATGCATTCAGGTTTGATTTTCTTTGTGCATTGCTCTGAAAACAAAAACCGTGCAGAATTAATGGGAATCGTTTGACCACAGTGCCAAGGTGTTTTTATTAGTAGAAGCAGAGTCAGAACTGCGTGGTTTAGTTTTAATGAATAAAGTATTTTTCTTCTAAGAGCTGACATAGTTTATTTGTTTAGCACTTACATTTATATATATATATAAACACACAATATTTACAATTGCACCAATGGAAAAATTAACAGTAACTAAATCAAGGCAGCTCTGGGACTTTGTAGAGCTAAAGATTCACGGTAAATTCACCTGACAGAACAGCCAGCCCTACCCAGTGCTGGGGAAAGGCAAGGCTGACCTGGAGAGTTATAAGGCCACTGGAGTTCTTGAGCCATCACCTCACCAAAACCAGCTGTCCAGATATATCCATCTACCTAGGAGACACCTCTCCTTATGAAATAGTTTATGACTTATTTGTAATCACCTTTAACCCTAGGATAGAATATTCATAAAACATTATAAAACTACTTTTAAAATCAGACAAGAGATAATGAAGCATGAGACATCTTCTTATTTCCTTCTTGGGCAATAGTGAAATCTTTTAGGCATGTGTGGGAGAGGTATGTCCTTCAAAATTGTATGTGTTCAGTGTTAATTATTTTAAGGAAAAGCTGAGCAATATTTGGGGCAACTTTCCTGTCCCTGGGTGCACTTTGCCATGGCATCCCCTCCATCAGGAACTATGGAGACATCACTTCTGTCTATGGCTCCAGGGAAGATAGTGAGGCTGTGAGTCTTGACTGAGCTTTGCAAAGACAACACCTTTGCTGCTCCTGCTTTGCTCAGATCCATCCCCAATGCTGCAGGGAAAGTGTTCATGTCCTGCTTCTGCACTACTGACTACTTCTGCACTGCTTTACATATTAGCACAGACAAACCATGCAAACACACATGCACACACACAGTTTCCAAAAAACTGTGACTCAGAAAGGCAATACTTTTTCTGCTTTCTTCTTCCCTGGATGGAGATAAGAATGGCCAGATTTCCAGGATATTTTTTTTATAGCAATCAGTAAGAAATCTAGGGAGGACATGAAATGAAATGAAATGAAATGAATGAAATGACAATGAAATGTGGAAACAGTGCGGTGTTAGTAATGAATGTTATCTACTTTCACCTATCCCCTATTTACATTCATTTAACATTTAACATTTATCATCACTGCTCCTGTCTCACTGGCTTCCAGCACCTTTTCCAGTATCTTTCTGTGCACTATGCCAGCAGCAATATGTCCCAGCAGTGCTTTAACTGCAAGTGCAAAGAACGACAGAGCAAAAGGGAAGTGCTTGGAGGCAAGGCTTCTCCTAATCTTTGCCTTTCTACGTGTCCTCTCCTCCCACCACTTGCTGTCCTGGTATGCAGCTCCTCTGTTCCCCAGTGCTTTTGGGATCACAGCATATGCAGGAACAAATAAAATGCAGAGGAAATGAGCTGAGTGCCTCTCTCCCCAGCGTGCCTCGGTGATGAATCAGGCCTGGCCAGCCTCATTCATGGAATAGGAAACTCAAACACGTGGTTCCCCTACTATAAGGTCTGACGCACTTGCTGCCTCATATCAGGGCTTGTTCCAGAAATCATTTGCTTCCAGCAGCAGCAACACTGCAAGGAGGAGAGGCTGTGCTTGTGCTCCTTCTGCATGAGGTGCCTTTAGGCGTATTGAGAGGAATCCTGATGTCTGGTTCCATCCACCAGGATTTACTGGTCACAAGAGGCAGGTGCCTTTGCAAACAGGCATATTCTTCACAAACAACCCAAAAACAGATTGAATGGGAAGAAGCTCTGGGGATGTAGGTGAGCTGGACCAACAAGGCAAGAAGATTGCAATGACCACTGCAAAAGCAATGCTTTTGCTAAGGAGTATTGGCAAAGAGAGGATTGCTTTGATTCATAGCACAGAACAATGGAAACTATAAGCTGCTGAGAGTGGCAGCTTCATTTTCTCCCTGTTCTTTGACCCAGGAGGAGAAAAGCATCTGCTCCAAGAACCCTTGGCAGAGTGATTTAAGATTCAAAAGTAAAACACATCCATCAGGCAGAGAAAGCAGAGGGTGCAATGGTTTGTGTCTCCACTCCCAGGGCTAGACTTGGTGGTGGATGCTGGAAGAGTTGTCTTCAAGAAAGATTGGTAGCACTCTGGTGTTCTGTTTGAGCATGGGCAGAGTGTGCCATTATATATTCAGCTGTGTCTGCTTTGGACATTCCCTGCAGACCTCAAAGCAGAGGCAGGCAGGGATTAGTGACTCCCCTGCTGTAAGAAGAAAGCAGAAACAGGGCATGGAGCTCCCCTTGCAGAGAACAGAGGGTACCCACAGCCCTTGCTGGCCGCCCAAGCTGTCTCAGGACCAAGGTGGAGCCAGGGGAGCTATACCAGGTCCTGGGCTGTGCAGAGACTTGTGTTTGAACACCAGTTCCCTGGGCCCAAACCCTTCTCCAGAGAAAAGCAAACAGTTGCCTGTTGGGAGCCTCAGCTGGGTGCGGCATCTCAGGGCTCCCAGTCGTGTTTTGAACACAAACCCTCCAGGAGAGGAGGCTGCACCTCCCTGCAGCAAGCAGTAGCAAAGCAGCCCCCTTGTATTCTGGCTTTTAACAACTTTTCAGCACAGCAGCTCGAGTCCCTCTGATTCAAACACGTGCCTCTCACTCCCTGCCAGGATTCCAGCCAGGAGAGCTGCTCTCTCATCTGGAATGCCCTCTCTCCTTTTCCGCTGCTAAGCCCTTGGTGGTGAGTCAGTATTTGGCTAAGGGTGAGACTGCATGAGGTGACATTGGTCAAGATAAGGTGGCAGAACAGCAAGTCCTGTTTTGGTATTATTTTTATTTTTGATCCATCCTGTAAGCTGAAATTTTATCAAAAAAATGAAAACTGTCCTAAAAGGGGGGGGAGGGGGAAATCCCTTTTACTTCAAAGGCATCAGATCCTTTGCCCTGGGATAGATGTGATAGAACTTGTTGTTAAAGCTAGGCTGGTTCCTGGAATTGTGATTGAAAACCTGCTCATAACTTCACCCTCTGCTGCCACATCACTGCTGGTTTGTTATATTTACCCCACACACTTTAGTGAGAGAGTTTCACTTCAAACAGAAAGAGGTACATCTGATGGCAGCTGTGCAAGAGAGCATTACAAGCTGTGCATGAGGTTAGGTAGAGGTAAAGGAAGAGGAAAGAGCCATAAAATGTAGAGCTGCATGACCCTTTCACGACAAAGAAGAGATTCCTTAGGAGCACCCCTGAAGGAGCAAAAATAGAGCTTTCTACTCTTTCTTCTGCCCAAAGTAAGATCACTTCAGACATGTTGTTATTTTCTGTTCACCAAGGGCTACGTAACTTCAGATTTCACAATCTTCTCTGTTCCAGTGCATCATTACTCCCACCATGAGTGCACTTTCCTAGCATCGAACCAGTCTTACATATTGCAGTTAGAGCCTATGGTTTCTTGCCCTAATAGCAAGGAGAGGACAGTGTACTTCTCTTTAAAACAGCCTCCCAAGAAGCCAAAGGAAAAGTTTTGGTGAAAAGAGAATTAATTTTCCAGGCAATTTCTGCCTTATTAGAGACTTTTAAGAGAAATTACCAAGAGCAGATTCCCAGAGCTCAAACGCAGAAGCTGGACAGGATGGGCCTGCAAGGCAAGTAGAGGAATGGTGCTGCAGAGAGCGATGGAAGGCAACGCTGTCAGAGGGTGGACAGCCAGAAGGATGAGCTGGCACTGAAAGCAGGAGGGGTCAGAAGAGAGGCAAATGAAGGCTGAAGCAGCTGGTTTGTTATGGGGAGAAGCCAGAGGGAGGCATTAATGGAGAAGGGTGAAGAAAAAGGTAACTGATGTAATGCCAAGACCTCAACAGCTACAGGATTATGACACCAATGAGGTCATTAGCTGGGAATGCCATTTGGCTTCTAGGGAAAAGTCATGATACAGAAACCAGGTGTTTTGTGTGTTTTACTTAGCTGTTAATTGCAGCTTGCACCTTCCTTGTAGAAGCTTAATTCCCCCTCGTAATGTGATGGAGTTTTCTCACTTGTCTACACATTCCTCCTGGTCCATAC